CATGAAAATAAACATTGTCTCCCAATTTAAACTGATTCAATCAATATATTTCAACACAATATGGACATTTCGTGAATTGAATACTGATACCTCTGTACAATTCATAGAAATGTTGGCATTCTCTTTAAAAATAACATTCAAGTGAAAAAGAGAGAAAGAAGTCCCTCTATGCTAGAGGCAATTTTTAAAATTAGCTAAATGGATGGTAAATTGGCGAGAGAAATGCCCAAGAACTTTTCATGCATCAATTTTAGGGTTGGAAATATCTGTTTGTTGTACAGTAATTTGGCAAGAAACTTATTTGCAATTTTATCACAAAATGTCCCTATGTCAAGTTAGTGTCCTTGCGTCAGGCCTTTTTTTATTAATTTTTTATGTGAAAATAAGTGTCCCTATGTCAAATTGTCTGCAGATAAAGGTGTCCTAACATAGGGGTCTCACTGTACTGTACTATGTCATCTATGTAAGTCAAATTCACCCAGCAGTACTTGTACCAAATGTGGTACACAAAAACTGTTATACAGTACATTGAACGTGGAACAAAGAAACTGAAAAAGCCAGGCCTGATCAGGATAACCCAAGACATGAACAAGTCACAGAATTTTCAGAAAATAAATTCCATCTCTAGTTAATTTTACTCAGAAGTAATGCACAAAAAGTTTGGATACCTTAATGGCATTTGAATAAAAATTGTATCTACTTGTAAATGCACCAATACTTACCAGATACAGTGAATTCTTGTTACAAGAAGCCAGTGAAGGGACCAGTGGAATCACTTCTTAATAACCAAAAATTCGCCGTAGAGAAACTGGACATAATCTTGTGGTCTTCGGACAGGGACCTAAAAAACGAATTTGTCGTAAGCGATCCTTCGTTGTATCGAGTTTCGTCGTAACGAGATTCTAATTCGATTGATTGAATAGGGTTACCATTCGTGACGATGACTCGATTTCATTCTCGAAAAAAAAATCGAAATCATCCCACATTCACAAGATGGTGAGAGAAATTCAGGTTCTCAGAAAGTTGAATAATTTCCTTCACGGAAACAAAAATTGGCTCCCGTTACGACAGTCATTTACAATAAAATCTTCTCAAAACACCCGGGTCATCAGGGAAACATAAGCTGTAGAGTCATCATTTCGCGAATCGGGAGAGGGTAAAAGAACAACGGGCAATTTTTTTTCTCTCAAGAATTTGCATGAATCATTGGAACATCCTCGTGTTGCTGGAGCAGACGACGCGAGCCCGTGCGGCGGTGCTTTCTCCGGTTCGGATCAACTGCATTCTTTGACCCGAAACTGCCAGAAACTGCAACAGTCTCATCAAAGAGCGCGAAATCCGACACGTAATGACCCGAACCCTTGTTAAAAGAGACCATCGGTGCAAAACTGCAAAAAGGGATAAGGGGCAAAGCATTGAAGAAACAAACACACTGCAAGCAATTCAGCTCTGAAAGTATTTGCACCAGTCTTTGCTTTGTTTGAAATAGAGTGAAACCCCCACATGCAGACACCTCAACATGCGGACAATTCAACATTGGGATACTTTATTTTCCCATGAAAAATTAATAAAAAAGGCCCAACATGAGGACACTGACTCAACATAGGGACATTTTGCGATAAAATTGCAAATAAGTTTCAGGCCAAATTACAAGAAACAGATATTTCCAACCCTAAAATTTATGTAAGAAAAGTTCTTGGGCATTTCTCTCACCAATTTACCATTCATTTAGCAAATTAAAAAAATTACCTCCAGCATACAGTGACTTCCTTCTATCTTTTTCACTTGAATGTTATTTTTTTTACGGAGAATGCCAACATTTCTATGAATTGTACAGAGGTATTCAATTCCCCAAATGTCCATATTGTGTTGAAATATATTGATTGAATCAGTTTCAATTGGGAGACAATTTTAATTTTCATGGAATTATGGTGAGTATTTTGTCCATAAAACACCAATTAAAAAGTATATAATGTAAGTCTAAGGGAAAATAAGACTCAACTTAGGGCCACTCTTGATGCACCAATTACATCCGCATCTCGGGGTCTTACTGTACAGTACTTCAACAAATATAGTCTAGGAACTGGGAATTGTAATTTTTTAAGTTACCGCAACACAAAATAACTTATTTCCAAAAAGAAGAAGAAGAAAAATCAAACACTTTTTTCTTCACTCCATTCTGACACGACAGAAACTCGGAGCACTTGGAATTTATCGTGTCTGGCATGAACACGAAAAATGCTTCTTTCATGACCATTACAAAACCATGGACACATAACAAAAACTTCCTCAATGTCTTTTCATCATCACTGAGGATTACCGCGAATCGTAATCGAAACTTTTCGAAGATTCTGAACTAAATCTAACACAAAGAAAATTTTTCATTTTAAAGCGCGAGATTGAGAAAGAGAATTTTCTCTAACAGTAATTTTACTCAAATAAAGATGAAAGCGAGCTTTCCTTCGCAAATTTGCCATCGCAATGAATAGTTTTATTTTATTTTCAGAATACCTCGTCTTTGCAATATTGATCCACGTTTCGAAAAACTTTCTCTGGCACACGTTCAATCGAGCGCCTCATATTCGACAGCAAACATAATTTTTCAGTTTCAATATGCTAAAATTGACAGACAATGGATGACGCTATTCGGGGAAAAATCGTACCCCCTTCACCAATTTCCCAAATGAGCGGACTAATGATGCCAAAAATGCACACAACCTTCTCCCCCAAACGATTTCTTCCGGGAGATACGACGTGGTGGCGGTGATGGACGAAGACGTCGACTCCACGCAGCATTCAATACAAATCACGATCTCAAATCGGCTAGTTTTCAAATTGTCTTGCGTCAGGAAATAAAATGGACTCGTTGAATCGATCCAGTGAATCAGCGTCATGGGCCAGATATAAAATAAACTGCCGTCAGAGGCATCGATTTGAACGTCGATGTCTCGAATCCTCACGGCATCATCCCCGATCGGCGCTTCGGATTTATTTTGTGGGACGGACTGTTTCGAGGAATACGCAAAAAAATAAAAATACCCGATTGACACCGAATGTGACAAAAAAAACGACTCAAATATCATCCGGTTACTTCGAGATCCGAAAGAGGATAAGTAAAGTTTCTGAAATTACCAGGTCTCATACGCAATAAAATATCTTCCTAGGAAGACCACTACAACACTAGGCATACTCTATCATGCATCATCATGATTTTAGAGGAAAATTTAAAGCTTCATTTATGCAATAAGAAATTGATTGCATCACTGCACTACTAACATCTTTTCTCCCGGGAAATACTGGCTTCTTGAATTGAATGAAAAATTCATTTTGTCAAACAATGTTGCATAATATTGAACATTGGCTTGTAAGTACAGTACAGTGAGAACCCAAGATGTAGGTGTAATTGGTGCATTGAGTGTCCCCAAGTCAAAATGTCTCCAAGTCAAGTCTCATTTTCCTTTAGACTTACATAACGTAAGTTTTAATTGGTGTTTTATGCACAAAATACCGTACTCACATTGATTCCATGAAAATAAACATTGTCTCTGAATTTAAACTGATTCAATCAATATATTTCAACACAATATGGACATCCAGGGAATTGAATACTGATACCTCTGTACAGTTCATAGAAATGTTGGCATTCTCTGTAAAATTGACATTCAAGTGAAAAAGAGAGAAGGAAGTCCCTTTATGCTGGAGGTAATTTTTTTAAATTAGCTACATGGATGGTAAATTGGTGAGAGAAATGCCCAAGAACTTTTCTTTACATCAATTTTAGGGTTGGAAATATCACAGTTTCTTGTACAGTAATTTGGCAAGAAACTCATTTGATATTTTATCACAAAATATCCCTAGGTTGAGTCAGTGTCCTCATGTTGGGGCCTTTTTTGTTAATTTTTATGGGAAAATAAGTGACCCTATGTTGAATTGTCAGCATATCAAGGTGTCTGCATGTGGGGGTCTCACTGTATTTTCACTCTTGTGCTTCCCATGGAAATCCAAATCATTTCCAATTGAGTTCCTTCACCAACTTCCAAATTTTAACTAACTGAGGTTTAATTTAAGAAAAGAGGAATAAGTGTACACCTCATCACGGTCAATAATTAAGATTAAAGTATTGCATCCATAATGAATCCGCGAAAGTGTTTTCATTCTGATTATTCTTGTGTCAGTTATACTGCATATCAAGGTTGACCTGAATGTGAATTACACAATTTGTTCCAATCAAGTTCTCGATTGAAGAAAATCGTCAATAAATCAACAGACTTCTCCAAACATTTGCTTTCAATCCCACAGTTGAAAATACGATACTTTTGTGCCATTTCTCGTGTCTGACGTCGGGACAATACGAAATATCAATTCTATCACAGTACTTCGTTCATCACAATGATTAGATGTTAAAACGGTCAAAATATAATTTTCAGTCCCTACCAATTCTTTTGAAGTTCCTTTTGCTCCCTTCCGGATGTCCACGAGTACTTCCACACTAACACACGAGCATCGACGGTACTTGAAAGTGGAACATTCCTGACATTTCACCGCTTTTTTTTTTTNTCGGGGTCTTACTGTACAGTACTTCAACAAATATAGTCTAGGAACTGGGAATTGTAATTTTTTAAGTTACCGCAACACAAAATAACTTATTTCCAAAAAGAAGAAGAAGAAAAATCAAACACTTTTTTCTTCACTCCATTCTGACACGACAGAAACTCGGAGCACTTGGAATTTATCGTGTCTGGCATGAACACGAAAAATGCTTCTTTCATGACCATTACAAAACCATGGACACATAACAAAAACTTCCTCAATGTCTTTTCATCATCACTGAGGATTACCGCGAATCGTAATCGAAACTTTTCGAAGATTCTGAACTAAATCTAACACAAAGAAAATTTTTCATTTTAAAGCGCGAGATTGAGAAAGAGAATTTTCTCTAACAGTAATTTTACTCAAATAAAGATGAAAGCGAGCTTTCCTTCGCAAATTTGCCATCGCAATGAATAGTTTTATTTTATTTTCAGAATACCTCGTCTTTGCAATATTGATCCACGTTTCGAAAAACTTTCTCTGGCACACGTTCAATCGAGCGCCTCATATTCGACAGCAAACATAATTTTTCAGTTTCAATATGCTAAAATTGACAGACAATGGATGACGCTATTCGGGGAAAAATCGTACCCCCTTCACCAATTTCCCAAATGAGCGGACTAATGATGCCAAAAATGCACACAACCTTCTCCCCCAAACGATTTCTTCCGGGAGATACGACGTGGTGGCGGTGATGGACGAAGACGTCGACTCCACGCAGCATTCAATACAAATCACGATCTCAAATCGGCTAGTTTTCAAATTGTCTCGCGTCAGGAAATAAAATGGACTCGTTGAATCGATCCAATGAATCAGCGTCATGGGCCAGATATAAAATAAACTGCCGTCAGAGGCATCGATTTGAACGTCGATGTCTCGAATCCTCACGGCATCATCCCCGATCGGCGCTTCGGATTTATTTTGTGGGACGGACTGTTTCGAGGAATACGCAAAAAAAATAAAAATACCCGATTGACACCGAATGTGACAAAAAAACGACTCAAATATCATCCGGTTACTTCGAGATCCGAAAGAGGATAAGTAAAGTTTCTGAAATTACCAGTTCTCATACGCAATGAAATATCTTCCTAGGAAGACCACTACAACACTAGGCATACTCTATCATGCATCATCATGATTTTAGAGGAAAATTTAAAGCTTCATTTATGCAATAAGAAATTTTTTGCATCACTGTACTACTAGTACTACTAACATCTTTTCTCCCAGGAAATAATGGTTTGTCAAATTGAATGAAAGATTCATCTTGTTACACAATGCTGCATAATATTGAACGTTGGCTTGTAAGTACAGTACAGTGAGAACCCAAGATGCAGGTGTAATTGGTGCATTGAGTGTCCCTATGTCAAAATGTGTGTAAGTCAAGTCTCACTTCCACTTAGACTAACATTATATAACTATTAATTGGTGTTTAATGGACAAAATATTCACCATATTTCCATAAAAATAAAAATTGTCTCCCAATTTAAACTGATTCATTCAATATATATCAACATAATATGGAGATTTGGGGAATTGAATGCTGATGCATCTGTACAGTTCATAGAAATGTTGGAATTCTCTGTAAAAATAACATTCAAGTGAAAAAGAGAGAATGAAGTCCCTCTATGCTGGAGGTAATTTTTTTAAATTAGCTACAAGGATGGTAAATTGGTGAGAGAAATGCCCAAGAACTTTTCTTTACATCAATTTTAGGGTTGGAAATATCTGTTTCTTGTACAGTAATTTGGCAAGAAACTCATTCGCAATTTTATCACAAAATATCCCTATGTTGAGTCAGTGTCCTCATGATCCTTTTTTTATTTTTTATAGGGAAATAAGTGTCCCTATTTTGAATTGTCCACATGTCAAGGTGTCTGCATGTGGAAGTCTCACTGTATTTTCACTCTTGTGCTTCCCATGGAAATCCAAATCATTTCCAATTGAGTTCCTTCACCAATTTCCAAATTTCAACTAAATGAGGTTTAATTAAAGAAAAGAGAAATAAGTGTACACTTCATCACAATCAATAATTATGCTTAAAGTATTGCATTCGATAATGAATGCGCAAAAGTGTTCTCTTTCAGATTATTCTTGTGTCAGTTATACTGCATATCAAGGTTGACCTAAATGTGAATCAAAAAATTTTTTTCAAATCGAGTTCTTGATTGGAGAAAATCATCAATAAATCAACAGACTTGTTCAAACATTTGCTTTCAATCCCACAGTTGAAAATACGATACTTTTGTGCCATTTCTTGTGTATGACGTCGGGACAATATGAAATATCAATTCTATCACAGTACTTCGTTCATCACAATGATTAGATGTTAAAACGGTCAAAATATCATTTTCAGTCCCTACCAATTCTTTTGAAGTTCCTTTTGCTCCCTTCCGGATGTCCACGAGTACTTCCACACTAACACACGAGCATCGACGGTACTTGAAAGTGGAACATTCCTGACATTTCACCGCTTTTTTTTTTAAACAGCTTTCTTCCTCAAAGCATTTCTTCGAAGAGTTTCTAAACTTCATGGGCATTTCTGGTAGACTCCGAAACGCAATAAAACTGAGATTTAAAAGCTAACTTTCCTTTCCAGCATCTTTAAAAATAAATAAATCCTTAAGAGATTCAGGATTTGACGATCGCGAAAAAAATTTCAATTTACTCGACTTCCTGACACTACTCAATTATCGAACACATTGTGCATCTGTAACACTTGAGAAGATAATACAATTGAGCCTGAATAACTCGAACTTTCTCAAGTCAAATACCTCCATACGCCGAATTTTTTCAAGTCCATGTCTGAATTCACTTCAGAAACAATGCATGAAAAACCTTCAACTCGAAGGCTTATACCCTCGGACTTCTAAAATTCGAATTTTCTGGAGGTCTTCTGACTACTATTTTATTGACACAGAAACGAGACAACAAATGAAAATGTAACTTGATGCATTTTGAAAGGAAGTATGAAGACTAATCGGGCAAATAAACCCTTGCCTCCGATTTCAGCATCCTGTCAAAAATTTTTCAAAACAATTTCAGGCTCAGAATACAACTACCTAACATTTTCTATTAATTCTTCCTTTCCGACAACAAAAAATGCTCATTTCCTTAACCCGAAAACTCCCCGACTCGGATTATTTTGCTGGTCCCTTGACGTTTGACTCAAATAGGTTCGATTGATACATCCACAAACGATCTAAAATCTTCAACCAACTTCACCTTCTGGATGATCAAGGCGCGAGCCGATGCTTCTATGATCCTCGAGTTGGCAGTATCACCCACTCGGCACATAAAACACAGTCTTCCATCCCGTACGCTTATCAACGCGTTCCTACTAAACACAAGTGTCCGGGCGCGTTGCATCGGTGTTGACAGTTTCGTCGCCACGACAGAAGCGGCGAAGTTTATCACCACGGATCCCGTAATGGCTAAGCGACATTATCACTATGAGGGGATCCGCGAATCAACCACATGTTCCGTCTTACCCGCAAAGCACCACGTCAGGAACGCAAACATACAACTGGAGTTTATATCTCGTAAGGCTCTCGAACCGTAGCCAATAGTAGTGATAGTCTCCACGGCAAACTCGAGGGCGGTGAGAAAGCTGATGAGCCCATCGACGCACGGATTGAATCCATCCAAGGAATCGCCAAGCGATGAGCTCCTAGCCGCGGATATCAATAACCACGTCGACGCAAAAAATACGTAAGTCAACGCAGTGATTACACTTATCCCGAAGAGGATATTACGCCAGCTCAGGGCTAATACGCTATTATAGTAGTCAGACATGAAGTTCTTCCGAGCTTCCGCTGACCGACGGATAGTTCTATTGGGTTCTCCATTTTTCAAGACGACTCGTCGTTTGACCAACGGTGGCCTTCGAGAGAAAACACAGAAATTTCACACGCTGCCAAAAGAAGAAACGCCAGAATCTAACCCTGTCGGATCAGGAAATGCGGCGAGCTTTCTCCAGTCCGGAACGAGAGATTGCTGTTCACTTTTTCCGAAGGAAAGATACACCAGCTCGTCCGGAAGTGGGACATTGACTTCCAAGTCGTCATCTCGAACCGGCGCGAGTCGTTCAACGTCAACATTGAACATTTCAGATAAGGACAATAAATCAGTCACACAAAATAAACGCGGAACGTTTGTAATCACGCAGAAGCACTTGACGATACGACAACACTTACGCACTCAAATCATAAAAAAAATTCAGCTCGATTATGTTCGCAACATTCAACCATTCGTGGGATTTGCGTACGGGGAATTCTACAACTGAACGTGTTTTTCTCCGTCACTCATCTCAAGATAGTAGAATCGAACCGAACCACCGTCTACATCCGCTTCCACGAGTATCCATAGAAATTATCCACATCGAAGCAAAATAATTCACCCATCGAATCAGCAGGAACGGCTTAACTTAGTTTCTTCAGTATTTAATCACTGAATTGAGTCAGACGGTAGTCCGCCCACTCAACCAACAGAATTCCTAGAAAATGATGCGCGCACCACGACATCCACACAGCTTCCAAGATTTACCGTTCACATACTTCTATTGCTGGTGCAAGCATCGAACAGCAACAGAAACAGCGCAGAAGGATACTGANACGGTAGTCCGCCCACTCAACCAACAGAATTCCTAGAAAATGATGCGCGCACCACGACATCCACACAGCTTCCAAGATTTACCGTTCACATACTTCTATTGCTGGTGCAAGCATCGAACAGCAACAGAAACAGCGCAGAAGGATACTGAACGAGATCTGGTTGTCAGCTGGTGAGGTTGAATTCCGCACTTCCTCGTCCAACATTGGCGTCACAAGACATCACTATGAAAAACTCGTCAAGTTCAAACAGTGGATAAAATGTTCAATCACGGCGATATCACATGGAGAAGTAATTCTCACTCGATGAACTATTTCAATGGAAGTTTTCAACTATCATTTTTCACTTAAGGTGTGAAGTGGAACTCGCTTTCGTGCTGACGAAGACCGTCTTGTCCTTGAAGTCTGAGGGCCTGGCTTCGACCGTGTAGTAGTGCAAATCCATCCCACGTTGAACGACGCAAATGCAGTGCGCGTCACTAGACTGTACCTCGAGGAAGTTGCATTGATGAGTGCACCACATCAGATGTAAGCAAGATGAATGCAAGAATCCGAACAATAAATCAAGCGAGTAGATAGCAGCAATAATGCGAGATTTTATTTCCCTCTTCCCACTGTGCATAGCCCCGATCAAAATGAACCAATCACCTGTTTCTGTTATTCACTTCCTTTGTTATACTGTATTTGCATTATGCCTATGCTCAGTGCGTATGATGTATCCGCGCAGTTCCATAATCACAAAATGTGGAAGTGGAAAATATGCCTGATAGACTCAATTGAAACCGTGCTGTCATATCAACCTTCCGTTGGTCTTGCACAGTTGATCATGACCTTTATTGCTCCATCAGCGCCCGTCTTCGCGGCCTCAAACGCTTTCAATGAGTCTTCCAGCTCGAACCTATGCGTGATCAATTTCTTCACGTCGCATTTTCCCGAAGCAACGAATTCCAAGGCTGTTGGATAGCTGTCGGAAAATAGTTTTCATTAGATATCGCAGAGAAATTCTGAAATTGTTATCGGCAAGCGTAATTTTTACGCGACTGTGAGATAAACACCATAATTTTTCTGCTGAGAGGTAGACTATATATACATGCAGTATTGATGAACATGAAGAACTCCAACCTCAAAACGACGAATTTTTCAAAAAGTCCTTCTCTGAATTTCCTTGAAAACAAAATGCATTGAAAACCTCCTTAATTAACTCAAAGGCTCATTCCAGCAGCCAAGCAGTCAAAAGCCTCTCTCTCTCTCTCTCTCTCTCTCTAAAACGATTTCTCTGTGAAGAGAATGTTTTTTTCAGGCCCCTTAGGATTTTCTCCTCATGTTGTACATTCAGGCTTTATAAGCACAAAGAAATTTTTTTTCAATGAATTTTTCTGGCTTCTTGAATTTTGTTGTCATATGGCAGGATAAATTTACAGTGAGACCCCAAGATGCGGACATATAATTGGTGAATAAAGAGTGTCCTGATGTGGGAATAATGTCCCTAAGTTGAATCTCATTTTACCTTATACTTCAATGCAAATATGTAATCAATTAGTTCTCCTTTTTTTTCAAAAAATTGGAAATGAGTCATATAACAATTTAATAAAATGGTTTCCCTCTGCAACATAAAATTGTAGAGAACAACAGCACAGAACAAAAGCACAAAGAATCTGCTCTTATAATTGTTATCAAAAAGAGATTAAAAAGCAAAGAAAAAAATAAATCTTGCTAGAACATGCACAGATTATAGGAAAAAAAAACTCTGAAAAAGGAAGCACAAGATCAGCTTGCTTTTGATTATGAATTAGAGTGAATTTACCATGAAATATTTTTTCAATTTTTGTGAATATGAATAGCTCAATATATTTTCAAACTTGAGCCAATGTCCAGATGTCAGGCCTTACTTTTTTTGGTCTTCAAGTTTCCATCCATAAGTCAAATTGTCCATATACATGTTGGGGTGTCCGTATATCAGGGTCTCACAGTATATAAAATGTCATCACTTTCATAAGGCACACCCATGATTCTATCATCATTTTCTAAAAAAAAAAAAACATCTTCTTTATTCGTGGATGATTTCCTACCAATTCGCATAACGGAAGATCCCTCTGATATCCACTTCCCTCACGGCCGCATCAAACACGGGTACATTCAAGTAGCTCGACGGTCCCACTCCAACCAACACCATAACACCCCCGGACTTGGTCGCCTTAAACAAAGAAAAAAATAATAAAGGGCAGCGTATTAAAAAAAAATACAGCTAAATGTCCGATAAAAAAACATTCAAAGAGAGAAAAAGTAAATAAAATGAAAATGAAATTGGATCGATCTGAAGATCTGTATAATAAAAAAATGGGTATATATAAATCAACCCACGAGCATTCCGAGTCTGATACTCGACTCGGCCCCGGTGCACTCGATCGTATGAGTAGGCGAGTCCCCCTTGAATGCTTCCTTGATCATCGCCAACGCCTCATCTGCCGTTTGCTCCTTAGCGATAGTGATCCCGGCGTCTGCTCCCATGGACAGTGCCACCTGAAGCCGGTTCTCATCCAGATCTGCCACGACATTAATTAAACATATATAAATGCGGGGGAAATCATTGCTGCTGCGCGACAATAAAGCCATATATATTGTACAGTATATGCACCAGAAAATGAAACATTGACATGAAACAAAGCATAATATTTTGGGCAACCGCACCACATCTTAACCAGCACAGAGGCAAATTACAGATCAACCCCCACATGCAAACACCTTGACATGCAGACAATTCAACATAGGGACACTTATTTTCGCATGAAAAATTAACAAAAAAAGGCCCCAACATGAGGACACGGACTCAACCTAGGGACATTTCGTGATAAAATTTCAAATAAGTTTCTGGCCAAATTACAAGAAACAGATATGTCCAACCCTAAAATTGATGTAAGAAAAGTTCTTGGGCATTTCTCTCACAAATTTGCCATCCATTTAGCTAATTTTGAAAAATTACCTCCAGCATAATAGAGGGACTTCCTTCTCTCTTTTACACTTGAATATTATTTTTACAGAGAATGCCAACATTTCTATGTACTGTACAGAGGTGTCAGTATGTTCAATTCCCCAAATGTCCATATTGTGTTGAAATATATTGATTGCATCAGTTTAAATTGGGAGACAACATTTATTTTCAAGGAATTATGGTGAGCATTTTGTCCATAAAACACCAATTAAAAATTATATACTGTACCGTAAGTCTTACAGAAAATGAGACTCAACTTAGGGACATTTTGACTTAAGGACACTCTTGATGCACCAATTATGTCTGCATTTTGGGGTCTCACTGTACTGTACTGTACTGTACTATACAGGGTGGGCCAAAAAAAGTGAACCAATTTTTAAATTAGAATACAATATCTCCTTTGAAAATTAAGCTGAAACAATTTAAAAAAACACCAAATGAAAACTTTTTCAGTTCTCTTTCAAATGGTTCCTTGTTTTATAGTCCCAAGTGTCACCAAACACTCACAAAAGCCGTTTTAATGAAAAACTTTGAAAATTGCTTCGCTTATTATGTACTAGGCTGATCATATTATTCGTCACTTGAACCTATGATTCAGACGACACCTGTCGGACATCCCAGCAAGCGGGGTCGGATTCGAAAATGAAAAAAATAAAAATAGAACACCAATAATAAGTTCCATAAACTGGGCTTTTTCTTTCATTACCGGTGAGGCAGACGAAAGCGGCACCCATGGCCTTGGCGACCAGCAAATTCACCAGCCCGATGGGTCCGGCCCCACAAATCAGAACCCGGGCTCCCAGGGTTACGCCTGCTCGCCGACATGCGTGCACTCCAACGCTAAGTGGCTCCAGAAGTGCTCCTTCCTCGTCGGACACGTGGTCGGGCAGCCTATATGATGGGTAAATGGCCAACATGCAAAGTCCACATTTCACGCCTTATTCATCATTAAAAAATAGTGTTATTCTCGCGACAAACATATTTGATCCAAACGTCTTATAAGTCAAATTTCAAGGGACCTGCAAAAAAAGTTGACTTTGGGGAAGGGGGGGGGGGGTGTTTGAATTTTATGGGTTGGAACACCAATGCAAAGCAATTTAATCTGGGAAACTGAGAAAAAAATGTAAATGGTGATATTCTGGGGCTTAAATAGCTTCTTTAATGAGTTGAAAGGCTGCTGAACTTGGAGGCAGGGGTTCATTTGCCCAATGAAGTCTTTCGCTTCCTTTAAAATGCTTAAATTTCTGTTTTAATTGCTTTTTCCTTTATTTTTTCAAGAAAATAATGGCCAACAGGTCAGAGAAAATTTGACTTATGGAGATTTGAGGGGAAAACCTTTTGACTTAGGGAGGATTCAACTTAGGAAGGTTTTGAATTTTATAGGTTGGAACTACAATACAAAGCCCTTTTTTCTGGGAAACTTGGAAAAAATGTAAATGGTGATATTCTTGTGCCTAACTGGCTTCTTAAATGAGTTGAAAGGCTGCTGAACTTGGAGGAAGGGGTTCATTTGCCCAACAAAGTCTTTCACTTCCTTTAAAACGCTTAAATTTATGTTTTTATTGCTTTTTTTTTATCTTTTCTCAAGAAAATAATGGCCAACAAGTCACAGAAAATTTGACTTATGGAGGTATGAGGGGAAAAGCTTTTGAATTAGGGAGGTTTTTCATCCATTGTTTCTAAGGGGATTCAAATGGGGACCTGAACAAAATTTGACTTAGGGGGGATATTCAACTTAGGGAGATTGGAGTTATTAAGGTTCACCTGTATAAAGACTCCAAGCGCCTTTTAATAGGGTGACTTGGGAGAGTAGAGAAGTCTGCAAGTATAATTTTGGCCAGCTATTTGCACAAATTATTTGTTATATTTTTAAAATCATATACAGTCAGACCCCCACATGCAGACACCTTGACATGAGGTAAATTTGACATTGGGGCATTATTTTTGTAATAAAAAGGGCATAAAAAATGCCCAACATAAGGAAACTGACTTGACATGAGGACATTGTATGATAAAATTGCTAATAAATTTCACAAAAATTGACTTTTATTTGGCTTGATTGCAAGAAACAGATATTTCCAACCCTAAGATTTATGCAAGAAAAATTCTGTCAATTCTCCATCATTTTCCCATCCATTCAGCTGGTTGAAAAGAATTACCTATTGCATATAGGGACCTCCTTCTCTCTTTGTGACTTGAATGTCATTTTTCTAGATGCCAACATTTCAATGAACAGTGTTTATAGATACACTATTAAATGCTCAAAAGGTTCTTATATTGAGTTGAAAATATATTCACTGAATCAAATTCAAGTGGCAAAATTTTTTTTTCATGGATTTCTAAAGAATATTTCTGCCATACAAGACTAATTAAAAATTATATAATGTAAGTTTATGGGAAAACAAGACTCAACTTAGGGACACTCCTCATGCACCAATTACCGCATCTGGGGGTATCACTGTAATTATTCAAATGTGCATCTCAATGCTGTAATTATTTCAAAAGTTAAAAAACTGCATTTATTTACTATTTGGGGTAGTAATGAAATTTCCGCGTACATTGGCCAGCCATTTTATTTCAAAATTGGAGGATAAAAAATTACTCTCGAAAATAATACAGGAATTTTCGACTTTTTAATAATTTCATTCAATCGAATAAGCATCTTGAATGAAAATATCGTACAGATTTTTTGGGCATTGAAAAAGTTTCCATACATTCTGGCGTTACCTTTCCAACATAATAGTACCGGGGACAAAAAAGCCCGCGTTAAATTTTTTTCTTGCATGCTTTGAAATCAAATACTGTACAGTAGATTATTCCGTAATATGATGAACGGAGAAACGCATCCATTTTTCTCGCAAAGATAATACGTTCTCTATAATATTTACTGCGGTATTTTCGTCCCACGCATGCGAGCAAAAACGCAGTCTGAATAATGTGCGAAAGACATTTTCTGAACAGATTCTCCTTTCTTTTTAAAGTATCCGATTGAATCACGATTACACTGTTATGAAACATATTTAAAATAATAATCCAAATTTTCATACAGTCGCCAAATTTGCGTAAGTTCATTGATGAGTATTCTGAAGGTAAACATTATTTCCAAGGTCGTGAGAATCCCATGCGGAATGTAATAATGAGTCAGGCCTGCTGAAAAATTAAAATGATGTGTTGTTGTTTTGATTATTATCTTTTCTAATTTTTAGATAATGGATAGAAGAACAAAATATTCGAATTTTCAACTATCCATAAACACTTTTTGCACGGCCCTGTGGCGACATCAGGGGTGGAGAACTCTGGCTGAAGCTGGAAAGTTTTCACTTATCATCATGAAGCAGTAAATTGAAAAAACTTTTTTTTAAATTCGAAACAAATCCCAGAAGCTTAGAACATCACATTGATCGACTATACGTCATGATTATTTTTCGAACCATCACATCGCCCAAATACTCATAAAAATACCAGACGTTGCGTCAAACTAGGACAACCCTCGTACATATATTTATGCACAGTACTATAAGAAGCCTATATATACAGTATAAAATAAAGAATAATCTGAAGAATAGCTATTCGAAAAAATGAAAGACAAATCCTGTCAAAATATCCTAACATATCGTAACATTACCGGAATTCGGCACAAATAAAGGCGCGGAGATAAGTACAATATTTATGAATACTGTAATTCGTCAAAGCAACTAATACCAACTATGTATATTTATGTAATTCTACTCATCAGAACAGGATGAATCCTGGAGCTATTGCTGTACACATCAGTATACTACGGGTATACCCCTATAGGTGGTACCTCGCAATTCGACCGTCCCGAAATTCAACGGTCGAATTAGCAGTTAGGTTGACTCGCAATTCGACCTGCTTCGGCCATTTTATTCGCGTTCTTGAAGTGATATATTCTTTTAAATTTCACGAAGTGTCTGGCAATTCGACCCGAGCTTGGCAACGGATCAGCGGGGTCGAATTGCGAGGTACCCCCGCTGTATGGTTGGTGCTTCATTATACAGCAGTCAGAATTGCATACAAGTAGCGACATCTATACGCAGAGGAATCAAACGATGAAAACTCCCCCAGGAGCCAATCATCCTAGAATTTCATTCTTCCATCTGCATGTACTAGTCCAAAAGATATATACAGTGAGAACCCCAGATGCAGACATAATTGGTGCATCAAGAGTGTCCCTAAGTCAAAATGTCTGTAAGTTGAGTATCATTTTCCCTTAAACTTATATTATATAAATTTTAATTGATGTTTTATGTACAAAATACTCACAATAATTCCATGAAAATAAACATTGTCTCCCAATTTAAACTGATTCAATCCATATATTTCAACATAATATGGACATTTGGGGAATTGAATACTGATACCTCTGGACAGTACATAGAAATGTTGGCATTCTCTGTAAAAATAACATTCCAGTGAAAAAGAGAGAAGCAAGGAAGTCCCTCTATGCTGGAGGTAACTTTTTTAAAATTAGCTAAATGGATGGTAAATTGGTGAGATAAATGACCAAGAACTTTTCTTGCATCAATTTTAGGGTTTTGCCTGAAACGTATTTGCAATTTTATCACAAAATGTCCCAATGTCAAGTCACTGTCCTCATTTAGGGCCTTTCTTATTAAATTTTTTTTTACGGGAAAATAAATGTCCCTATGTCAAATTGTCCACATGATGTGGAGGGGTTTCACTGTACTGCATACTATACACAGTCTCTCCCACCATCTGTGTCCCTCATCTGAAAACGAAGGATAAATGAAAGAAATGCCGTAAATGGGGGAGGGGGGGAAAATGTATCTAACCATCTGCTGTCCGTCGTCTGAAAACGAATAAGGAAATGAACGAAATTCCGTGAATGAAGGGAAAAGTATATCTAACTTGAAACAAAAGTCCGCGGCGTGTTTGTAGTATTGACAGAGATTCCCGTCCACGGGGGGCGTGGCGCAGAACTGGATATCCGGACAGAGGTTATAACGCCCGCCGACACAATACGAACATCGTCTGCAAGGCACGCCCGGCTCGATCGCTACTCGGTCACCTACGCAGAAAAAAAGAAGGAAAACAAGACATGTTCAGTTGGAAATAAATCAATGGAAAACATACACAAACGTTTAAAAATATAATGAACGAATAACACGCTCCGATATAATGACTGTCTCGATTGCGCATCTCTGTCTCTCATCTATACACACGTATATGTATTTCGTCCTTTATTATTGTGACAAGAATGAACTCCGCTTCGCGACCTTGAGCATCGTATATACACACAGCGACTGCTGATGCTACAATAATATGCCCAAAACGGGATGGATGATAAACGTTTATACAGTATTTGCGGGCTCCGGGATCACGATAAGTACTGCACACCGTATATGTGAATAACAACACATTCAATACACAGTACAGTTAAACCTGGATAACAGCCGCCACTTTGGCAGCCGTGAAGGCAGCTATTGATGAAAATGGCGGAATTGCATTGGATGACCTGGAGGCAACCCTTAGAAAGAATGCCAAGTTGATTTCAAAAATTCTGAGGGGAAAGCTGGGCTACAGTAAAAAAAAAAAGGGAGCCTCATCTTTTGAGTGGAGAAAGAAACTCTGCCCGGGTGAATTAAGAAAAAAAATTCAAAAAAAATTTGTCAAACAGGGCTGATATTTTTCTTCTGTGCCAAAGAATATGTTTTCCCTGAAGAAAAAAAGTTTTTCAGCTCAACTGTAGGCCATTTTCATTGTTACTCCAAGAACTTTTGTTAGAACCCTCGTGTTATAGTGTGTATGGTGTTACACGACTTGAAGTGCACTTGTTCTGAAACAAGAGTGCAGTGATCTCAACTCATTTATGCATACTGTGAGTGAAACCTTTAAATGGTTGATTAAAACTTATGTAAGAGGTTAAATCTTTTCATGCATGATGATGGAGATAATTTCTTACCATAATGCCTGAATATTGTTATTATAATGCTCTTATCTTTAACACAGGGGAATAAATCCCATGTCTATATAGGCATCATCTTGCATTTAAATAAGTAAGCTTTGTTAAAGAGAGTTTGCTCTGATATGACTACCTATTTGTACTTCAGAGTAGCATCTGAGAAAGTTAATATACACTTTGCTTGTTATCATTGCAAGCAGAATTTATACACCTATATACAAGTTGAATGCCTCCTTAAGTTGAATTTTTTCAAGTCCCCAGTTAGTATAACAAAACATTAAAAACTTCCCTCACTCAAAGGCTTTTTCTCTGAAACCTCTGCTTAAGTTGCATTTTCAGAGGCCTTTTGGCTATTTTCTTGAACCAGGAAAGAGAAAAGCAATAAAAAATGAAATTTGTTGCAATTTGAAAGGAAGTGGAAGACTAAATTGGGCAAATGAACCACTGAGTTCAAGTTCAGCATCCTGTCAATTCATTAAAGAAGCAATTTAAGGCCACATAATCACCATTTACAATTTCCTACCAAGATAATCTATGTTTCCTGCAACAAAAATGTACGGAACTATGTAACTCAAACCTCTATAACTTTTGAGACCTTCACACATCGAATTTTTGGTTGGTCCCTTGGAATTTGACTTATTATTAGGGAGGCTCAACTGTACATATGCTGTACACTATGACTAAAGCACTAAACAACTGTTCTTTAGTCATAGAACAGTTATCAAAATTCGAAAATCAATGCTGGAGATTTAATAGTCAATGATGATGGCTCAATTTTTTCCATCTTTGTTAAGATTACTGATGTTAGGGAATTTTGGACATGACTGCTGGTGAGTCACCCAAAACGGAATCATTGCTCATTTAGAGGAATAAGAAGCATCAGGAGAAGAGGGTTCCAATATTTTGGCTTATCATAGAATTAATTTGCAATTCATATCCCAAAAATTGTTGAAGGTACAGTAGTTAAATTCAGTGCGAGGACTCTACGTCTGCATTAACCACGAACCTGGATATATCAGGGATATACAACCTAGTAGACGTACATCCTAGAACAAGAGGGTTTCTGTAGTTACCTTTACGTAAGTTAACGAAGATAAGACAAGTAGAAAATTAGGAATGAGTTCCCAGCACATAAATTGAATAAAAATTGCTTCTCCCAACTTCAAGATACAAAAAACAAGCATGCAGAAGAAAATAACAGATGCATATGTCTTGCTATACACATGAACCTTGATAAGTCAAACCTCCCTAAGTCAAATTTTTTTCAAGTCCCTGTCTAAATTCCCTTAGAATCAATACATTGAAAACCTCTCAAACTTGAAGTCTTTTTCTCTAAAACCTCTTAGTAAAATTTCCTGAGACCTTCTGCTTATCATTTCCTTGAAATATGAAAGAGAAAATGATGAAAACAAATAATTTGATTTATCTTGAAAGGAAGTGAAAGACAAATATAGTAAATGAACCCCTGCCTCCAAGTTCAGCAAGGTGTGAACTCATTAAGGAGCAAGTTTAGGTCCAGAATATCCTCATATATGATTGTTCACACTTTTTTCACTGCTCCTCACAACAAAAGTGTTTGTTTCCTCAACTGTAAACCTCCAAAAATCAAAACCTTATCCACAAGTCAAATTTTTTTCCTGGTCCCTAGAAATTCAACTTATAGAGGTTCAACTGTACTGTGCACTATAATGATGGAAAAAACTTTGAAAAAAGAAACACAAAATCAATCTGTGTTTGATTTCTGTACCAATTAGATTAAAATTATAATGAAATGAATTTTCAAGTTTTTGGAAAATATAATTAGCTCAATAATATGTCAAAGAGATATCAACGTTGTAAAATGAAATTTTTATATTTTTCTGGAAAATGTCACCCAAGTGTCTGTATCTCGAGCCAATGTCCGGATGTGGGGTCAGATTTTTTCAAGTTTTTCAATTTCCTTGAATGAATTGTCCCCATAGCATATGTAGATTTGGGCGTCCGCATGTCGGGGTCTCACTGTATTCCAGTAAATTTTTCATAGCTCTTTGACTAGTATATACATGATGAATTCTGCTAATTATTGAGACCAATTTATATACAGTGAGTGCAACGACCAGCAGAACACACCCTGTTTTTTCAAAATATGCATACAATTTTTCATGGCAGTACATTTTCTTCCACTATAACGCAATTATGAAAACTAAGAAATTTAAAAGAACTACAGTGGCAGGCATACAGTTGCGGTATAAATTTGAGAAAATATCTAAGTGATGTTTAATTGATCGGAGAACAGATTAGAAATAGATGCAATTTTTTAAAATTTCCGCCAGAAAACTGGAAAAAAATTTTCTGAGGAGACCTACAATAATACAAACAGAGCAGAATAAGTTTCCTATGCTAAACTAAACGAAGTTCAACTGCGCTCCAAATTTCGTTCTATAAGGAAGCGTTTTTATGTTCTCACTGTATTTTTTTTCTGAAGAATGTTGACAAGATAAAAATCAAATGGGGCAAAATCACTCAGAATGTACGTCTACGTTATTGCATATACTGTATATAGCTTTCCAAATTTATCATCTTCATTAATACCAAGTTCAAAATAATTTTCAGTCCAACAAAAAAAAAGGAAGAGCAAAAAACATGAAAACCTTTTCTTCACAGCAATTATCCTGTGATATTTTCCACGGGAATATCGCAAATTCCTGAATAATGAACTCATATTGACAGAAAAATTGAACAAAAATGTAGACAATACCGTACTTTCCTGTGATCTCAGTACCTCATTCCTAGACCTCACTACCATCCAGACAAATCTTTAGGAAAAGTTCATAATCACAACAACCTACCAGAAACTGTGAATTTTATTTTTCCGCATTCTGCTGAAACTGATTTTTGGAGGCGGTTATAGGTAAAGTTAGATTAGGTCAGGTTATGTTAGTTACAAATATCCTTTAATTAACATAACCTGACCTAACCTAACTTTACCTAACTGCCTCCCAAAATCAGTTTCAGCAGAAACCCAAAGAAAGCAGAAACTGATTTTGGNAAAATCAGTTTCAGCAGAAACCCAAAGAAAGCAGAAACTGATTTTGGGAAGTTGTTAGGTGAAGTTAGGTTAGGTCAGGTTAAATTGGTCAGAGGGAAGGTACAGAGATAACAGAAAAGGGGGCACTGGGATAACAGTTCGTCAAACGAATAATGTTGACAAAATACTTTTATGAATCCACCTGGTTTGAGATGAGAAACACGTGAGCCAACTTTGACAACTCGTCCGCTTGCTTCGTGACCAAGGACCATCGGAGCTTCCACAACGAAATTCGCAATCCGACCGGCTGTCCAGTAATGAACGTCGGATCCGCATATGCCAACTTTCTGCATCTCCAATAAAACATCTGCAAAAAATATATATATATATCAGCAACATTCAAGTACATCAAGGGGTTGTTCGTAAAATATGATAAACAAACGGCCGCTTGCCTTCATATCGGAGGCAGATGCCATTTTTATTTTTTTTGCTCTTCAATTCTTCATTGGTGTCAAACAAATTTTTCACAAACTATTCAGCTACAGAAGGAATCAAAATAAAAGACCTGAATCACAGTGAAAAACTGAATACCCACCACTGAAGTGAAGTTTACCATGTACAAGGGGTCTAAAAAATGGCAGATGACATTTTTTTCTTTTTCTCTTCAATGCTTCATTGGTGTCAAATGAATTTTTCATAAACTATTCAGCTACAGAAAGAAAAAAGGTAGAAGACCTGGATCACAGTGAATACCCACCACTGAAGTGAAGTTTACCATGTACAAGGGGTCTAACAAAAGTTCTTGGAATATAATTTGAAATGGCATATAATTTAGCTGAAAAAAAATTCTTTGGGACAAGAAAAAAATCAGCCCTGTTTGAGATATTTTTTTGAATGTTTTGCAGAAGTCACCATGGCAGAGTTCTGCTCCCCACTCAAAAGATGAAGCACTCTTCCTGCAGATTTTGTTGTTGTAGCCCAGATTTCCTCTCAGAATTCTTGAAATCAACATGGTATTAATTCCAAGGGTTGCCTCCAGGTCTTCCAAGGTAATTTTGGAAGACCTGAATTGTATAAAATTAAAAACCCACTGCCCAATAATCAGTCCTGTAATTTAGCTCTTATTGTAAACTTCCCTTAAAAAATGCAATCCCAATTCTTTTGATTGTATTCTTGCATTGCATTACTGAACCCTACATTTGTGTGCACAAATTTATCATTTTTATTGAATATGTGTTGCATTATTGCATTTATTGTGATGCATTATTATTGTACCATATTTCATTCTGATTTATTGTGGACTGTGATTAAACCAGACAAAACTAGGGATATGTAATTCAGGTACCCCCCTTAATTAGATATTCCTGGCCACAAACTGGCTGATTGCACTGCCTTATTATTTCTCACCATTTCTGTTGCGGGTCAACTAGATGTCGCCCACAGCGCAGGGACAAGAGAGGCACAGAAAGCACAACGCAGCGTAGGAAATGCCACGTCTTACAAGAAAAGAAATGCGAGAATAATCAAGATAACAAGAAATAATACTTTTTATTCAAACATTATGAAACCTGAAGATATTGATCTTCAGGAAAAATATTCCACCAAGTGAAAAATCACTTGATGAAAGAAATTACAAGGAATTTTATAAACATACATTCAGTCACACCCCAGTGAAAACCTTGGAGAAGCTTTCCACTGGGGAGGACCTGGAGCTGTGAAGAAGGAACTGCAGAATCAATCAATCCTGCTCTGAACTTGGAAGAGGACAGACCTGCATATATTGTGTGATTTATTTGCTGGGAATTATTCATGGACTTGGACATTATTTATAAACAGAAGTTGAGGGTTCAGGACCCTTAGGCCGCAAACGGCCAATTGTGCTATTAGTTTATTTCACTATAAACCGAATCAACGTGTTGTAGTCAGAGGACCTCTCACAATTTCTTCCACTGCACTATAATGGATCAATTCTTTATGTTGGGTTGATTAATTCCTCAACAGCATCCGTTACTTCAATATACACATGGGCAATTGTTTTCAAGTTAATATTTTGTCCAATATTTGAATTATTTTCTAGATCTCCAAATTTTACTCTGCTGGAACCATCTCACATAGCTGCATTACAAAGAGAGCTTCATATATACAAGGAAATGTAAATTGATTTTCTTCTTTTTGACAAAATTTAAATTCTATAATTGAAATGCGGTTACAAACATATTTACTTCAATCAATTCATGATGCTAGAATGTCACAGGCAGGAATAAAATATTGTAAATTTAAAGATGGCTCTCCATACATTTCTGAGTTTTTTTTTTCTAAAATGAGAGAAAATCTCTGTACAATGATTGATTATTCAGACCAAATAAAATGGATTTTTTCTAAATGTTCCTGCTCCTGGATGAAATTTGGACGGTTTATAGAAGCATTCAATCACTTGTTAAATTAATGTTTTGACAAAATAAAATAAAAGGTTGAAGCGAAATGTCGGTGGTTTAATTCTTGAACACCGAAAGAACTCAACTCACCGTGTGGATCAAGATCCTCTTCAAGAGTTCGCTTTTCCTAAAAAAAAAAAAAACACGAAAGACACGTTTCTCAATTTCAACACATGAAAGAAATCATGAAATATTTGACTCACCATTCTCAGATCGCCTTTCGTAAACACAACACAAGAGAGATTCTCCATTATATTTCCGCGAAAACCTAAAAAAAAAAAAAAAAAGAATTCGACACTTCGCTTGATTCACAGCACCACCTTAAAAAAAGGACCTCCAAAGACAACTTGATATCAATAAATGGGAAGGAATACTATATACACATGCAGGTCTGTTGACTTAATCTCCGAACGAGAACCAAATGAAGGCTCTATACAACAGGGGCATCGCACCCACGAATAACTCATTCGCTTCTTCTTTTTTCTTCCACATCCAAAAAGGGGGCTATATAACGACGCAGTTGCGTGAAAATAATGGAAGGGGTTCTCAAACCTCCGCGTCGAAAAAAAAAAATTCCCGAAATTCGAAGAAAATTAGCATTTTCATTTCAGAACAAGGCTTAAAAATTCGCGAGGAAAACGGCATAAAATTTCCACTACAATTTTAAAACAACAAGGTTCTCTTGGTAGCCAAAAATAAAATTCCCGAAATTCGAAGAAAATTAGCATTTTCATTTCAGAACAAGGCTTAAAAATTCGCGAGGAAAACGGCATAAAATTTCCACTACAATTTTAAAACAACAAGGTTCTCTTGGTAGCCAAAAATTTAAATAAATAAAAATTGCGCTCCAGTTAACGGCCTGAACCCATCCCAGTTATTGGAAGGTTTTCATTCACAAAGTTGATCACCCAACTGCAATAATTCGCAATAGATGGTTCTCAGGACTCAAAAAGTATTGTGACCTTTACAATGATGGATTCAAACAATTATGATGACTCAGGGGTTTGCAGATTCCTCCAGACTTGCTTTTCAAGAACTCAAAAATCCATCAAGAATAAGTTATACAGTGAGACCCCCACATGCAGACACCTCAACCCTCAGACAATTGGACATTGGGAGTTTAGGGACACTTATTTCCCCATGGAAAATTAATAAAAAAAAGACCAACATGAGGATACTGACTCAACGTAGGGACATTTTGTAATAAAATTTCAAATACATTTCAGGCCAAATTACAAGAAGCAGATACTTCCAACTCTAAAATTGAAGTAAGAAAAGTTCTTGGGCATTTCTCTCACCAATTTACCATCCATTTAACTAATTTAAAAAAATTACCTCCAGCATAGAGGGACTTCCTTCTCTCTTTTTTAACTTGAATGTTATTTTTACAGAGAATGCCAGCATTTCTATGTACTGTACAGAGGTATCAGTATTAAATTCCCCAAATGTCCATAATATGTTGAAATATATTGATTGAATCAGTTCCGATTGGGGGACAATTTCAATTTTCATGGAATTATGGTGAGTATTTTGTACATAAATCACCAATTAAAAATTATATAATGTAAGTCTACGGGAAAATAAGACTTGACTTGGGACATTTTGACTTAGGGACACTCTTGATGCACCAATTACATCTGCATCTTGGGGTCTCACTATATTCTTATGCTAAAAAAAAAAATAGCCCCCGAGGAGCAAGGGAAACCATTCTTAGCAGGTTGAAAAAATATATCTCCAGCACTTGGAAAACATTTCAGGCACATCAAATTAAGTTAGCACAAAAAATTTTCATATCCACAGCACAGGAGAAAACAAATTTTCATGCAGTCAATTATCCAAAGTTAAGGGTCCACTATCTTTCGAGATCATATTGTGGACTATAGGGCTAGTGCAAATATTTTCAGCGGGCCCCATCAGTGAAAAAGGAACATCCAAGAGAATTTCAACACTCCCAAATAAATCACATTTTCCCAAAACCATATACACTTATTATCACAGGAACATCATTGCTGAGGAAAATACCGGTATTAGCTGTACAAAATCATCTCCCATTGTTCCCCAAACGTGAGTTTCTATATGCAAAAATATGACAGACAAAAGACAACAACAAAATGTAACAGAAAATCGTGCAAAACGTTCCGCGGGTGATGGAAATGGACAGAAATACGAGACCAGACAAACGCACGCCAGTGTCAAAATAGAATGATTCCTTTAGCGCTGCTTCTGTTCGTGTATTTATCACACCTGAGAAGACGAGCAAAAAAAAAAAAAAACTTCCCATCAAGGCAGATATGATGAGCCAGAAACAATAATAACGAAAGTAAAGTACAATTCGAATAAATAATTCAGAGGAATTGCACACCTCAGTCCAAACTTCTTTTTCTGCCGCCTCGCGTATTCAACCAAATAACGAAAATATATGCGATTCTATATATGCTACTTTTCTCTTTCCAACGACGAGAGAGAAAATTTCGTCCCCCAGCAGCAATCTGACACAACAACAAAAAAAAAGCT